AAGTAACTTCTTTATCATTACATTTGATCTAAGCTATATTGTTAATAACCCTTTCTTATTTTACATTATTACTAACTTTAACTTTCCTTTTGTTGAGTTAAACCCACAAAACCTTCATTTCATTATTGTTAATGTATTGACACCTTTCTTAACCAATAACATAACTAAATTCTATGACTTATTTAAACACTTTGATTTATTACTTTTACACACCCTTCCTATAGTAAGTATTTCTTATGTTATAAATAACTAACACACACATTCCTCTCTGAACAAACATAACTATCATTAACGTGTTTATTTTTGTAACAACTGAGTGATAGTTGTCTTTCCTCATTTATTATCTTCTTGTCATTGATTGCTCTTTATAAACTAAATTCCTTTTGTTTAGTTTTAAGTATATTAAATTATTTCTACTTTACGGAAGAAGTTTTCCATTGAGTCTCAATGAATGTTATAGTATTAGTTATATATTCCCTAACTCTTCATACCATACTTGCAGTAGTTGTGTTTAATTGATATCCTTGAAGAAGAGTTAAAAAAATTACATAATCATTGCATCTCTAATTGATGATATTTCTTATTGTAAACATGTCCAATTATATGCTCTATATCCTTCAAGATTAAATCACTCAATTATTCTGAAAAAATGTTATTATTCCAGTGTTATAAAACTGACAGTTCTTACTATTTGTTTGTTTCGCAGAAAGAAAACCAATTTTAAGACATAAAAACTGAGAATAACCCTTTCTCAAAGGAAAAAGGGGGTATTATAGTAAATGAACCTTACACATTATTTCTTCTTTAGTTTTATTACTTGTGTTGTTACTTCAAACAAAACTAAAGTTGTCTCTGTATTATCAGAAAATAGGCGTATGATTATTAACATAAATACATAGAATTGTTTTGTTAGGTTAAACCAAAAATGGTATTAAGAAGGTTCAAGAAATTTTAAAAGCTCTTTTCGTGAAAAAGAGCATAAAAAACAACTTAAACAACTACCAAAAGAAAAAGTCTCGTAGAAATACCAAAATGATAAATAAATATCAAAAAAGAAAAACCAAATGATATTAACGAAAAATTTTCTTCATAAAAGAAATAAATATAAATAAAGAAGAAGAAAGAAAATAGAGAAGTGAAAGACATAATAACAAAAATAGTATAACAATAATTAAAGATAAGATGAGGAATAGTCAAAAAAAGAAAAACAGGAAAGAACTTAAAATAATTAAAAAGATAAAATATAAGCATGGGAGATACGCAAAGCACCTCAAATAATGTTTCAAGTGTAAAACCAACAACTACACCAAGCGAAAACAATTCACAAAAAATAACAAATGATGGTAACCAAATCACTGAGATGATGAAAAAAGATGAAGAAGAATGTGTAAAAATGATGGAAGAAGAACATAAAACAAACTTTACTGCTTCAGATGAGGAAAAAGAAAAGCAAGAAGTCATGAAAAAGATGGAAGAAACAAAAAATGAAGAAGGGGATTTAGGATATTTCACACCAGTACTCACACCAGAATTAAGTCCTGAACATCCTCCACGTTTTTCTATTACTAAAGCACCTGCACTATCAGAAATGGAGCTAGAAAATAAAAGAAGTGAATTATCACTTGATGTAAATAAAACAATTGATATAGAAGTTGGAGAAGAAACATTAAAAGTACCTGTTGAAAAAGATAACGATGATAAAGAAACATCACAAATTATTGAAGAAATTAAAGAAGAAACTCAGGAATTAAACAAACAGTTACCAGAAGAAATCAAAAAGAATGAACCTGTTATTTGTCTTGGACAAGAAAAATTAAAAGAACAACAACTATTTAATGACAATGGAGAAAAAATTCTTGTCAATGAAAAAAGAATAGAGCCAACAGAAAATGGAATTTGTGAAGAACATAAGATTGTTAAAACACAAAATGATGAAAATAAAAAAGCTCTTATTATGAAACAAGAAGAAAAAAAGGAAGAAACAAAAGATGGAATTCAAAAGAAAAGTGAAAGTACAAAGGAAGTTAATATAAGTACTAGTAAAGAAGGAATTGTAATGATGAAACAATTATCTCAAACTATAGAACAATTAAGCACAAATAAACCTATGGAAGAAGAAACAAAAGAAAATGATAATAAAGAAAATAAATCCGAAGATGAGTTAGAATGCATTAATACTAAAGATTTTATTAATAAAATGGATATGAATGAAATTAATAACCAAATTGAACTTATGGATGATCAAGAAGGAAATACTCCTTTTGATTTATTAAACCAAACTGATAGTGATGATTCTTTCTTTGATAATGATGATGAGTTCTTTTCAGATAGTTTATTTGGTGATGACTTTTTTGAAGATGATGATATTTTCGGTGCACTCCATTCAATTTGGTCATCAAAGAAAAAGAAAAAAGAAGTTCCCATGATAGAAGAAGGATTTAAACACCCAAAAGAACTTCAACAAAAAAGATCTAAAAAAGAAAGAAGAGTTATTACTATTATTACACCAATTAATGCTAAAGATATAAAAAAACTAAATGAATCAAAGCCAAAGAAAGGTTGTGAAAATAAAAAGAAGATTGTAAAAAGAACAAGAAGAGTTACTTCAGTTCAGGAGTTATTGGATTGAGAAGAGAATTATTCCTGATTGACTGACTTAATTTGCATCATTTTTTTCAATATTTTTCATACTTTTTATAATACCGCATTGTTTAAAAATGTCATAATGAAAACAGGACAGTTTAATAATGGTATACACATCACCAAATAATACATTAAGAATCTATAATTTAAAGAGGAAAAAGAAAAGAATTGAAAGAAGGGAAAATCTAAAGGATTCGACACAATTCTGTAAGAATTCTAGAGGTAAGATAAGTAGTAAATAAATAATAAAAATATAACAAAAGTATAATAAAACAAGAAGAAATAAATGGAAGGGGTGAAGAAATTCTTTTGAAGAAAAAGAGAAAATTTGAAACTCATTGAGATAAAATTATTACTCAAGATGACATTAATCAAATCAGTTGGATGGAAGGTTATTAATGCAATAAAGTCCAATTTTTATAGATTATGCATTACAGGATTATTATTTAACTTCAGTGCATATTTCTTATGGACTGTTATCCCATTAAAAGCAAATGATTTAGGTGCTTCTTCATTAGAACTTGCACTTATTCAAGCAGTGTCTTATGGTCTTGGGGCATTATTCTCACCTGTAGCAGGAAAATTAACTGATCTAATAAATCCATATTTGTTATTTAGAATAGCAGATTTGTTCTTTATTGGATGTGTTGTATTAACAATGGTTCTAAATACAAAGGTTTGGCACCTTTATATTGATGTCTGTTTTTATGCAGTTGGTTCAGGACTATTTTGGCCAGTAGTAGGATCGACTGTAGGTAAAGAAGCTTCAATTGGAAAAGAAAATAGAAACAGTTCAATATATTCTGTTTGTTGGTCATTTGGTAAGTCATTAGGATATTTGTTTGGTGGGTTATTGAAAAAAGCACTTGGAGATAATGCTCTTTGGGTGGCAATTGGTTGTAGTGGAATTTTATTATTTATTTATCCATATTGCCTTCCTCCCGAAGTACGTGAACGAGAAAAAAGAAAGAAAGAAGCTGCTCAACATCAGAAAGAACCAGAAGACATGCACGTTAAAGTAGGAACTGTTAATAAAGAGAATGATGATAAGAATAAACCTAATGCTGATGAAGATATTGAAATTCCATTGGATATGGTAAATGATTTAGAGAATCAAACTGGAGTACAAATAGATTCAGTTAAATCTAACAATGTACAAGGACATGACTTAGATGAAGTTGTTGTTGCAGACTCTAAAAGAATTAAATATAAATGGAACCAATTCCAATTAAAGAATAAAACATACATTTATCTCGGTTATATTCTTAATTTCTCTGTTGTTGGAAGTGCATCTGTATTATCTAATCAATATATTAAATTAATTAAGAAGAAAGATATAAGAGTTAACCTTCCATTAGCAGCACCAAATGATATGTACCTTGGACTCTTCTTCTTTATCTTTTATTTTGCACAAACCGTTGCAATGGTGTTAATGTCTCTTACAACTATCTGGACATATAAACGTTCAATATTCCTTATTGGACAAACAATTATTATGGTTTTGTTTATTGTTGTAGCTGCTTCATCAACTGTTTGGCTTCTTTTAGTATTAAGTTTCTTAGGAGGATTAGTTGCTGGGTTTGCTTATCAAACATCAACTTATTATTCCCTTCGTGCAAGCGAACAAAAGAAAGGTTTCTTTGTTGGAGTTTCTGAAGGAACAGCTAAATTAGGAATGGCATTCCTTCCATTAATTGCTGGTGTTATGGCAACTTCATTAGATAACCTTTATTTACCTGTTTACATTGGTATTGCTATTGTATTATTCTGTACTATTCTTTGTGAATTAGTGTATCATGTAGGATATACTATTAATAATAGAAGACAAAAGAAAAGAATTACACCTGATCAACATTACTTTGAAATGGAAGAATCACATACTGAAGCTCAAAAAAGTCAAAGGGATAATACTAATAAAGAAGATAGTCCTTCTACTAGTCAAAAAATTGAAACTCCTAGCACAAATCAATCAATTGATCCTTCTCAAACATCTAAAGGAGAAGAAAACCCAGTTGATACAACAATTGAAATGGAAAAAGAACAACAAGGAGAGACTAACAAACAACAGAATGAAGAAGAAGAACATCAAGAATAATTTGCACTGTACATTGATGTTCATAATTTAACTTCTTATTTAATAACGAAATAGATTTTTATAATATATATGTACAAAACAACATAAAAAAATAGAAAGTGAATAATATCAAAACTAAACATCAGTCAAAAGGATGAAAAGTAAGTAAAAATAAATTCAATTTTTTTCTAATGGAAACAACAGGACCTATTCCTAATCATAAATCAATTAACTTAATCCTTAAAAGAGCTGAAGAAACACGTGCCAGAAAATTAAAAACAAAACAACATAGAAAAGTTTTATATCCAATTCAATTAATATGGAGAGGATTATATTTTATAAATACTTATTCTTATTTCAGAATATTTATAACAGAATTAATTGGTACTTTCTTACTTAATTTTGTTGCTGATGGAATTTATACTAACCTCTTTAAAAATGAGACAAACCTTTCTAGAGAAGCTCTTTTAGTTTGGCTTATTGCAGAAACAATTGCTGTAACATTTGTTTTATATGTAGATTTATTAATCTTTGCAGAATATTTCTCTCCTTCTTTTAATCCTACCATTTCTTTCATCTATTTCTTTTTAGGAATTATTAACTTTTTTGAATTTATATGGAGTGTTATTGTTCAATTTCTTGCTGCATTTCTTCAAGTGATGTTTATTTATTATCTTTATGACATTGACCATTTCTTGAAAATACCAACTGATACTACTTGTGCTTTTAGGGATTTAGTTTCTGAGGCAATTGGTACTTTCTTTCTTAATCTTACTGTTATGGTTTGTATTCATAAAACAATTAAACCCTCTGGTCCTGTTTCTTTTATTGTAGGAGGAATGATATTAACACTACCATCTGGTATGGTAGCTAATCCTTCAATTACATTTGGACGTATGTTTTTTGGTGTTGTTTTGGGATTATCTCCTTGGAGTGTAATATTTTTTATTATAGCACAATTTATTGGAACATTTGTGGCTATTATTGTTAGTGGGTTTATCATGTTTCCTTGTATAACAGATCCTTATAGACATCGAAGAATAAATGAATTAACTAAACGATTAGAAGGTATTAAACTTGAGTCGTCTGAAGAAGATTTTTCAGAAGATAATATTCCAGAACAAATTTATCTTTAAATAATTGTTAATATCTTATTTTTAATTAATAATACTTTAATTTTAAAGAAAAAGTAATTAATTAAGTATTAATAGAATTTTCATATATTCTTCCTAGCTCAGGGGAGACTAATCCCATCCCTGAGCTTATTAAAAAAGAGTAATCTCTTTGTTAAACCTATTCTTTATGTTTTTCTTGCAAAATGAGGAAAGCACTTCTTTGCTTTATTTCTTCTTATTAAGGTTTTTCAAACTTCTTCTGCTTATTTCTTCTTTTTAAGCCTTTGTTTGTTTTCTGCCTTAATTTTAAGGAATTTCATTTTTCTTATTTTATGAATGGGAGAAGGAATTATTTTATTACTACTGTATTACTTTGACTAATCTTCTTTTAGTCTTACTTTGACTAATCTTCTTTTTAGTCGTACTTTGACTAATCTTCTCTTAGTCATACCCACACTTCAGTAGATTCTTATATTACATCCATGTAATATTCTACTGTATTCTCTTGCTGCACCCTTTGCAGCTTCCCTAATACATTCCTAATTCAAAGGCACCGTCATAACCAGATAATAACTGGGAGAGTCGAAGAATGAATTTGTACTAGGGTTTGTGTGTGGTGTTTCAGACGTGCCACCTTCGATCTCATACTTTAATTTTAAATAAAATAAAAAAAAAGAAGAATTTAATAAAGAATAGGAATATGAATGAATTAATTGATTAAAAAAGAATTAATTTAAAGTAAAGAATTTTAATAATTTCTTTTCCTTTAAATGAGTAGTTGTTGGTGGAGTAACAATAATTTCATCAACTTTTCTTTTAAAAATCATTTCAGGAGAAGTTTCATTATAAAAAGAATAATATTTATCTAACTTTTGACATTTTAAAGTGTTATTAAATTTATAAGAAGTGATTGTATTTAACATTTCTTTAAATTCTTCATCACTTGAACATAATTTTCTTATAACAAATAATTGTTCTTTAATTTTATAATGAGGATCTTTCAATCTTTCAGCTTGAACCTTAATTTGATTTAATATTGTACTTGCTTCACTTATTGATAATTCAAATATTCCAAGTGAGTCAAATTGAACAACAATTTCAAATGGATATAATTGAAAAAATTTAACATTTACTTCACAATAATCTTCTTCTTTTTCTAAAGCGAGTTCTTTATAGACTTTATTCATACAACCATTAAAGAATATTGTTTCAAGAATCATTCTTTCTTCATTAAGATTAGCAATTGTTTCATTAAATTTCTTTCTAATCATACGTAAAATTTCTTCTAATTTAGCAAAATAAGAATCAACAAATTGTTTATAATCTAATTTCTTTTTATAAAACATTTCTATAATATTACCCATTTTTGATTTCCATTGATCTTTTGTTAAAAGAGTTCCATTAGTTGCAGTTTTCATAAATGGTAATAATGTAGAATATTTTGTTAATTCAAATCCTTCATGAGGAAATGGTAGTCTATAAATTCCTTCATTATTTACAGTACGACATAATAAATTACGATAAATTGAATTTTCATTTCCAAGAACATAACTGCCTAATTGAAAAATAATATTTTCCATAATTTCTTCACTTGTTGGATTATTAAAATTAATATAACAAAATGGATTAATTCCACCTTTAGGATAAAATCCATGAGATAAAAATGTATAATTAATCATAGGATCATTAACATAATTAAAGAATATTTCGTTTAATCCAATTAATTTTAAATCTAATGTATGTGTATCTATACTAACTATCTTTCTTCCTCCATTCATTCTTTTTTCTCCAATTGAAGAAATAGTATTAAGTTGGTTTGTTTTTGTATTGATAAATACATATTGTAAATTAGTAGTATTTAATACTATTACTCCTTGTTTACTAATAATGAAAAATAATTCAAATCCATAAAAAATATTCATATATTTATCTTCTTCACTCCAATCTTCATAAATACATTCAAATTCTTTTGAATTTGGTTTTGTAATTAAAACAATACAATAATTCTTACTTAAACAAATAACAAACAAATTATCTAAAATGCATTTAGTCATTATAACTGCTCCTCCTCCTACTTTTTCATTCCCAAATTGATCTGATCCTTGATTTACTGTAATTGGAAATGAATATTTATCTAATCCACTACAACTAATTTGTTCTAATGCACTATTAGAACATTTAACATGTAATGCAATTTTATATTGTTGATATAATACCATAAACTTCTCATAATATTGACTATTTTTAATATTAATTTTTTCTATTTTATCACTTTCTAACATCCCATTTGGTATTCTTGAAATTTCACTTAATGTAAATAAATAAACATATCCATTGTATGTACAAACAGAGCAATATGTTTCACGATATCTTGATGAAACTGTCAATACTTCATTTTTCCTAATATTTCTTTGATGAATAGTAACTAATTTAACCCAATTACTTGATATTAAATAAAAATTATTTTTTGATTCTTCTTCACTTGATTGAATTGTAAAATATTCTTCAATAGGTTGTGTTGATACTTGTATTTCAACTGCTTCATATGAAGCTTTATTTCCTGTACAAAATAATGCATATCGAGAAGAATTTGCATTAATCATTTTAAGAACATATAAAATACAATCTTTATCTTTATTCCATGCAACTGAAATGATTTTAAAATTTGATGGTAAAATAGAATAATATCTTTCTCCTTCAAACTTTCCTTTAAGTGGTTGCAAATAAAATTTAATTTGATATTCATTCTTTTTTATTCCTTTTTTCTTACTTGCATAAAACATTGTTATATCACTTTGTCTACTTGCTCCAAAGAAATGAATAATATAATTAATACTTCTTTCTCTTGTATCTTTATTAAATACCTCTTTTATACTTCCTTCTTCACCTACTTCTTCATATAATTTAAATAATGACTCTTCTTCTTTTGCCATTTTGTCTTTTCTTCTTATTTAAGTTCTTTTTCTGTGATTTTTCCTTTTGTTTTTTTACTAACAACTTTGAATTTACTATAGTTGAGATTGTAAACATATAGAAAATGATTAACATTAATCTCTTTTATCTACATTATTGTTAGGTTCATATTATTCATTTCTCTTAAAAAAAATGAAGATGAATAATAAATATGAATGTCTTTTATTGTTAGATATTAGACTATCATATGAAACTTATGTGTTTTTATATTCTCAATGAATAATTATGAATATTAACATTAAGATAAATAGTATATTGTCTGAACCATTACTTTTCTCTAAAGATTATCTTAGTAAAGAAAGTAGTATAATTGGATTTTTTTCATGTTCATTAGATGAAATGAAAAAAGAGAAAAAAAAAACTAATTTAAAAAAGGAATTGGAAAAAGAGAAGTGAAAGTCCGAAACGAAAAATTAAAAACCTAAAAAGAAGAGAAAAATAGTAAAATTAAAAGTAAAAAAATTAAAAAGAAGATAATAAAACATAAAACCAAAAGGAAGAGAATTGTTATTCAAGTTCTTATTTAAAGATCAATGACAACGAAAATGAGCACGGCACAAATTGATTTTGACCAACAACATATTGAACCTCAAGAAATTGATTTAGAAGGAAGTGATATCCATATGAGAGAAATTCAAACCACTGCACCACCCCCACCCCAACAAGATCATCAAATAAACCAAATGAATAATTCAGGAATTTCAAGTGTTAATTTAAACCATCAAATAGTCCAACAAATGAATGGAGAACTTCCACCAGAAATTGGTCATTTAGATGGAGAAATTCAAATAGGACAAGAAATGACACCAGAATTATACCAAATACGTATGCAAATGTTAGCTACAGGAATAGAAATGCAACCTATTTTACCAGGTTGTCCTGAAATAGATGAACAAGCACAATATATTACTCAAATACAAACAATAGATTTGAAACCAAAACAAGCTAATAAAAAAGAAATGGTTAAAGATAAAGATGGAGTATTATATTATTGTTATACATATACTGTTAAAAATAAAGATGGTCAAGATTATATCCAAAGAGTGTATATGAAAAAACAAACAAATAAAATTAAACCACCCAAAATTTGTGAAGAAAAAATTGATGATGGAAGAGTAGTTGTTATTGAAAAAGAAAGAAAACTTACTAAACAACACGAGTTATTACTTACTTTTATTCAAACACATGAAGAACCAATAAAATTATATAATAAATTTGTTGTTTCAAGAGTGTTACAAGACTTTAAAAGAGAATATCCAGAAATTAAAATTTCATATGGTTTAGTTAAAAAAGTATTAGAACAACAAGGACTTCTTCCTCCTAAAAAAACATATTACAAACTTGAATAAAATGATTTTTAGAATTAATGTTCGTTTCTTGTTTATTCTTTTTTTTTTTGAGGTTTTGAATGTTTAATATAATAAAATATAAACAAACATTTGAATTAGTTTTGACGATAAATCCAAGATAAGTAATTGTTATAATAATTAAATAAAGAAGAGTACAAACTCATCTCTTTAGCATGATCTTGCTCTGTTAGAGAAATTTGATTAAGAAGGTCTTGTCTTGTTATTTTGGCTGATTGAAGTTTTGATAACAAAGAATCATAGAACGTGTCAGAATCTTGTGATGCTAAATTAGATTCAATGTCTGTACAAAACCCACATATTAAAGAACGACGAAGTGCAACATATTGATGAAGGAGTTCTAAATCTATTTGGTCTGACGCTTCCATAAGAAATGAATAAGAAGAGTTTGTACAACTTTTATAACATAGGTTAAAATTAGAAGAGAATGATACTAAATTGAGGAAAGTGATTCTATTTCTGTAATGGTTCTGACTGTAATTGCAGAACTACTTTGTCATAATTTGAAAATCATTTAAAACTTATTTATTGAAGAATCAACATAGAAAAAAACATTGGTTAATGAATTGTTTTTTATTCTAATATGATTTTGCTACTGTAAAGAAGTAGAAAGGTTAAATGTTTTTGTTTTAAAGATTATTTCTCTTAGTTGAAAGAAAAAAAGAATGATTGTTATGGTTGATATAGTGTAAATGAAAAGAATATAAGAAAGATTATTTACATTTAGAAGAAATTTTGTTTATTCAATGTTCTTTCTCCTAGAAAAAAAAAACAATACTTAAACTGTAGTTATATAAACTTAATTCAATTAATTGACGTATTAGTAATCTTCTTTTACTTCAGGTAAATAAGAGGATTGAGGCTCTAACTCATCTTTTATATCAAGATTTATAACTTTAACAATTTTTCTTTGGTTTTCTTCTTTGATCATGTTAACCAATTCATTGACTAGTGTTATAATAACTTGTTTCTGTTCTTGTATTTGGTTATTTAATAATACCAACTTTTTTTCTTCATCACTAAAATTATTAAACACTACCTTATTAACAATAAGATATGTTCTATTATCAATTTCTTTGATTATTCCTTGATCAATTGGTATTTTAATCATTACATTTGTTTCTCTTGTACCAAATACCTTCTTCTGAATCATTTCATCAATTATTTGAATAACTTCATCACTATCTTTGTTGTCTTTTATTACCCATTTCCAAATATTGTTTTTGTTGAAACTGTTATCACTCATTTTACTCACTCCTTTCACAAGATTTCTTTTGAAATATAAAATCTTCTTTCGTTTTTGGCTTTTATTACTTTCCTTTTAGTAAAGGGGGTGTTTTACATTAAAGATAACTGACTAAATAGAAAACAATACAATTATACCGTAACTTCAAGCTTTTCAAAGACAGCCAACTGTCCTTTTTCTGCTAATGATTTTCCTATACTTTCTGCTAGTTGAATCCATTCTTTAACTTGTTCGTTCCATTGTAGATTCATTATAATGTCATTTTGGTTATTCTTACCTACATGTGCAATGATAATCTCTTTCTCTTTTTCAAATTGTAATCCAGTACTTCTCTTTACTCCAGTAAATCCTTCTTTTGAAAGGATTTTTGATAATACTTCAGAAACTTTAATAATAGTAGTATTTTTCTTTAAAACAGCAGAACAACGTCGTTCACTTTCACTAATTTCGACGTTTGTATCAAAAGCAAATTGATTAAATTCAACGAAATTATGTTGTTTGAGTTGTTTTGGTATCTTTTGTTCTGTTCCTTTCAATAATCCATATTTCTCTAATGACTCTCCAAACACTCTAATAATTGGTGACACAATTGGATTATCATCAGTTTCATTAAATACAATAATAACAACATCACTTTCTTTTGTTTTTCCAAAAGTAAGTCGTGCGTAGAAATAATTTGAAGGAAGTACAGCAATAACTGATCCATGTGTTTTACAAATTGTATAATTCTCAAAGTCAAATGTTTCATAAAATAATTGATGGATAAATTCTTTATTAATAGGTTGATTAAGTTCACCAATCCAAGATGTTTTAGAAATAAACTTAGTATGTTGTTCTAAAGAAGTACTTTTTTTGAAAAACCAACTGAACATTAATTTGTTTTGAATAGTAATTAATAGTTCTTTTCCTTTCTCATTAACTCTTTTCTGTTAAATAACTTAGAAAAGTAACTTGAAAATAATAATATCAAGATGGAAAGAAGTATTGAGAAAATCAGAAACATAATAGCAATTCTTACAAAAATTAAAAATGATAACAAGACATTATATCATAATCTTGACTCAAAAGGTAAAATTTTAATTTATATTCCAATAATTCTTGTTATAGGAATGATTGTATTTAGTCCTATGATTAATAGAATCGACAAAAGTATTATTAATCAACAAGAAAATTCAACACTTAACCCATATTTAATTGAACGTGATAAAACAATAGTATTTAATCTTATTCTTCTAAGTATTTGTTTTGTTATTATTAATTATTATTCTATTCTTCACCAAATAAGTATTGGGTTTATGTTAAATTGGCAAATTATTGGAGTGGAATTAGTGTTAATGTCTTTAAAAATGAAAAGATTAACATTAAATATTGATATATTTATTATTACTTTCATTGCCACTTTATTTGTTGTAAATATTGCTCTTAGAAAATATTTTATAGAACAGTCAATTATTATTTATTCTCCATTTCAAATAACGTTTGAAAATATTCATTTAACTCAACAATCTTATCTTTTGCATTCATTTTTCCATTATACACTTTCATTGGTTTTATTAAATTTTGTTCATCTTCCTCATATCTTTTTATCAGTTATTATTAAGTTGGGAATTTTAGGAATAGTGGTTATTTCTTCATTAATTTTTTTGTTATGTTGTTTTTCTTTGTTGCCTTTGTTTGTTGTTTATTAAGTCATTTGGAGTTACTATAAAAAAATATTCATTTCTCTTAGTAAATTTAATAAATATTCATTATATCTGATTAGTTTCAGTGTTTTGACCATTATTGGAATATCATATCTCACAAATCCATGGACTGTCACTTTGCCTTCTTTCATGGTTATTTGTTTTTATGTTTGCCTTTCATTTATTATTGACAGACATATTGTCATTGTGATTAATAATATCCAAACATTATCTGTTCAAGCATTCCATGAATCTACATTAACTCCATTCTGTGATGATGAAAATGAAATCTTTGTTCAAATCAAAACAGACTCATAAATATAGATTTCTTTAGAATTACATTAAACTTCTTAATTTCTTATTTCTTTTTTTAAAAATTAGTGTTTATTTCGTTGGTCAGTTCTTTAATTCAAAAATTAATGAATTTAAGAATCTTCTTTTTTAGATAGAAGAACAAAATAGAGTGTTTATAAATAAATATAATGGTTAAATTTCTTCTCAGTTTTTTAAACAAAAAATGAAGTAACTGAATTTCTTCAATTTGAAAGTATGTTTCAGAAAATACTTATTATGGTTGCAGCTTTTGGTGTAGTTCGTTGTTTAACACAATGTTATGATGAATGTCCTTATTGTTTATGGGGGTTATGTCATGCATGTACCAAAGGATGTAACTATGGTTCATGGCAGGATAATGCCTTCTGTTCATATTGTTTTAGTTTGTCTTTTCTTCATTAATTAAAATTAATTGGTTTGTGAGTGTTATTGACTGTAATAGAATGTAAAAGAGGATGTGAAGCATGTGATGAAGAATATCATTGTACAAAATGTAATTTAGGATATTGGTTACGAAAATATTCATCTGAAGTAAGTCTATGTGAAAAGTGTCCAACTGGATGTTTGGAATGTTCATCACCGACACAATGTTCATCATGTTCTAAAGGATATTATTTAGATAATGGAATGTGCTATCGTTTGTTGCTTCTTTTATAAAATTAAAATTTGAATCATTAAATTTTCAAAGATAAGAATTAATCAGTAGAATGTCCTATTGGTTGTAGTTTATGTTCTGGTCCTGATTCTTGCATTACTTGTGAAAGAAATTATGGTGTTGTTGTTTATGGAGATTCTAGTTGGTGTAGTCCATGTACAACAATTCGTTGTTCTTCATGCCAAGTTGGAACATATTTGTCTAATGGATTATGCTCTGGTTTGTTGAGTCTTTTATTTGTAAATGATATGAAGAATAACACAGTATTAATGATTAGCATGTCCTAATGAATGTACAACATGCAACACTTTTAATGAATGTGCTGGATGTAAAGATGGATATTATTTGGAGAATGGGAAATGCGTTCTTTGTTCAAACAAACTCAAAGGATGTACTTCTTGTGATATTACTGGAAGTGTTTGTTATGAGTGCACAACAAGATACAGACTTTCACAAGGATCATGTATAGGATGTCCTACTGAAAGAGGAGAAGGAGTTGATATGTGTAATAATAAAGGATGGCAAACTATCTGTCAATATGGATATGCTGATCCATATGGTGGTTGTGAAAAGTGTAATGGAGGAGATGCATGTTTAACTTGTACTTATACAGAAAATAGATGTCAAAGTTGTAAAGATGGATATTATTTAAATCGTAATAAATGTGATAAATGTGATGTTTTAGGATGTGCATGGTGTCAAGATGATCATACTTCATGCAAACGATGCAAAGAAGGATACTTATTAAAGAATGGGGAATGTGTGTCTTGCACTGAACTACCAGAATGTGAGTATTGTAGTAATGAATGTAAAAGATGCTCAAAAGGATATGCATTTGATAGCCAACATACTTGTACTAAATGTAGTAATTGTGAAGAGTGTAATACACAAACGTGTTTTGTTTGTAATTCTGGATATACCATTTCAACTGGTAATAATTGTGATTTATGTTCTAATGTATTTAGTCATTGTGCATCTTGTAAAACTACAGACCGTTATTGTAATTCTTGTGAACAAGGATATGTCTTTTCTACAATTAATAAAGATTGTGAGTTATGTAATGTTTCATTCCCACATTGTTCTTCTTGTAGTCAAACTGACAAAGTATGTTTATATTGTGAGGATGGATATACATTAGTAAATGGTCAGTGTGTTACATGTGACAAGGCAATGATTGGTTGTTCAACATGTAATAATGACAAGGCAAAATGTGCATCATGTTCAGCTCCATTAGTGTTGGCATCAGATTCATTAAGTTGTAAGAATTGCTCAAGCTATTTTGAACATTGTCTAGAGTGTAGTCAAGTATCTTATAAATGTGTTAATTGTGACGTAGGATATGTTCCTGTTAATGGTATTTGTACTCCATGTCAAGAAGGAATTAGTGAATGTGTCAAGCCAACAAATGGACAATGTCCAATTGGAACATCACCATATAAGGGATTTTGTTATGACTGTAAGAAAAAATTAAATAATTGTGATTTATGTTCTCAAACTGAATGGAAATGTCATACTTGTCAAAAGGGACTTCTAAATAAAGATGGTATTTGTTCCACTTGTGATATTACTAATTGTGTAACGTGTTCAACAACAGAGTATAAATGTGATCAATGTATTGATGAATATGTTCCATTAGGAAAGAAGTGTTTAACATGTGGAAATGACCCAAATTGTTATAAATGTAATAATGATATGACTTGTTCATACTGTAAACTTGGATATAATCTTTATGAAGGTACTTGTACCCCATGTTCTGATACTAATGCTGGGTGTGTTTCACCAATAAAAGAAGGAAAATGTAAATATAATAATTTCCTTTATCAAAACTATTGTTATGAATGTTCTAAATATAAACCTAATTGGCTAGGATGGTCTAATTCATCACCAAACTGGCTTGGATGGAAAAATGGATATGGACTAAAAGAAGATAAAACATGGGTAAAATGGGAGACTGGATGGTCATTGGGGTATAAAGCTGAACAATGGGAAAAATGGCAAGAAGGGTATATGGTGAGAAAAGGAAAATGGTATAAATTTGAGAGTGATAATTGTGATACTAATTGTTATAACTCAAGTATTGGATGTACTGCATGTTCCACAACTAAAATTGAAGAAGAATCGAATGGAATTTGTTTATTATGTTCAATTAAAAATTGTAAAGTGTGTGATTATAATTTAAAGACATGTATTGTTTGTGAGGATGGATATGTTTATGATTCATACACCAAACAATGTACTGTCAAACCAGGTGATTTGTGTGAAGTATATAAAACATCATCATGCATTAAGTGTCGAGATGGTTATGCAGTTGATTATATTAATAACAAGTGTATTAAGTGTGGTAATAATTGTAAAACATGTAGATATACTAATGGTCATTTCAAGTGTCTATCATGTGACTCTTCATTAAATTTGTACTTATTAAATTCACAATGTGTTTCTCCGACAAATGAGAAGTGTAATGTTGTAGGATTTGATAGTTGTAGATCATGTATTAATAATACAAAGGTAGTTGATGGAGAATGTAAAGAATGTTCAGCACATTGCTTGAGATGTTCACAAGATGAGTGTCTTCAATGTGACACATCAACCATTCTTCAAAACGGTAAGTGTGTTGAAAATCTGGATTGTTTAATTACAAATGAATATGGAAGTTGTTCAAAATGTGTTTCAACAAAAGTATTAAATTCTGAAACTAGTCTTTGTGAGTCATGCCCAGAGAATTGTAAAGAATGTTTATCGTCAACAAATTGTCATGAATGTATGAATGGTTATGTTTTATATAATCAAACTAATTGTATAAAATTAGCAAACACAAAGTTAAGGTTGAAAAGATTAACTAATTCAATAATTCCTCATTGTGAAAAAGAAACAACAGTTGGATGTCAACGTTGTGATAGTGGATATTATCTTACAGATATTTTGATGTGTGATCCTTGTATTGAAAATTGTGAACAATGTAATGATTCAACAACATGTCAAAAATGTTCTTCAGGATATATTTTAAATAATAGTGTCTGTGTTAAACAAGGAAGAAAAGGTTGTAAAGTTATTACACAAAATGGTGAGAGATGTGCAATATGTGAAGATGGATATTTCTATAAAGATGGAAGTTGTGAAAAATGTGATTCTTCATGTTTGACATGTTCTAAAAAGAGTTTGTTCTGTCTTCAATGTGCTGAAAACTTCTATTTTGTTTCTTCAAATACATGCTATAACTATTCAACTATTGAATATTGTTTAGCAGCAAATGAAAATGGATGTACGTTGTGTGAGAATGGGACGTATTTAACAAATTATAAATGTCTCAAGTGTGGCTTAGGTTGTTTGTTTTGTGAAGATGATAGTGGTGATTGTTTATCTTGTAAAAAGGATAACGTATTAATTGAAGGAAAATGTAAGTCTTATATCGAGATAACACATTGTATTTCAGAACATGACTCAAGATGTTCTCAGTGTGAAAGAGGTTATGAAATTTCTAATAATGGAACATCGTGTGATGAAAAGAGTAAGTGGTGGATTTCTTTAATATCAGTAGGTATTTTGTTGATTTTATTCCTCAGCGCCATTATTTCTATATTAGCCATTATCAATTTCTTAAGAAACAGAAAAAAGAAAAGAGAACAAGAGAAAACAACATGCATATTTAATATGAAATACTCCAATGTACAATTCTCTTTGTTTGAAACAGTAAAGGGAATTGCATTAAACAAACAATGTATTGTATATGATGGTAATATCAAAGTGAATCAAGAAACTAAAGAATTAATTTGTGTTGGAAACACTTCTAAACATGTAATAAAAATACAAATAACTCTTAAAGAAAATACTTATAAATTTGAAACTAGAACAACCCCACAATTAGTTAGTTTAAAACCTGGACAAGCATGTGAGTTTGAAATATTTATTAAGCCATTGTGTAGTTGTAGTATGAAAGATGAGATTATTCTTCTTGCTTCTGATTTAAATAATGGAATTCAGTATCAAGGATATATTCCTTTGCAGTTTGAAACAGAATTATCAACACGACTTGATCCAGAAGAATTAAAAGAAGAAAAGAAAATAGGAGAAGGATCATTTGGAATTGTTTATGTTGGAGAATTTAGAGGAAATAAAGTAGCAATTAAGAAAATGAAACAAATTGAGAAAAGTGAAGATAAACTGAAAGAATTTGAGAAAGAAGTAGCAATGTTAGATAAATTTCGAGATGAATATATCATTCATTTTTATGGAGCAGTATTTATTCCTAATAAAATATGTATGGTAACCGAATATGCAGAATATGGATCAATACAGGATATAATGAATAAAAGAAAAATTACAGAAATATCAAAGAAAATAAGAATCAAATTTATGATAGATGGAGCAAAAGGAATATCATATCTTCATTCAAATGGAATATTACATCGAGATATTAAACCAGATAATTTCCTTGTTGTATCACTTGATGATAATATTGAAGTTAATTGTAAATTAACGGATTTTGGAAGTGCAAGAAACATCAATATGATGATGACAAATATGACATTCACAAAAGGAATAGGAACACCAAAATACATGGCACCAGAAGTGTTAAATCGTCAACATTATAAAATGCCATCAGATATATATTCTTTTGCAGTTACAATGTTACAAATCATTACATGGCAAGATCCATTTCCTAAATCAGAATTTAGATTTCCATGGTCAATTGCCAATGCAACTGCACAAGGACAGCGCCCTTCTCTTATAAATGAAGTTCAAGAACCAATTAGATCATTAATTACATCCGCCTGGTGCCAAGAGTCTTCAAAAAGAATAAAAGCAGAAGAAATAATTTCTTGTTTAGAAGCTGTATATTGAACTGAATTTTTCTTTTTATTATTTCCTATCATTGTTTTTTATGACTCTTTTTCAATGAAAAGAATATCAAATTATATTATATTTGTTATTGAGTAATGTTCTTGAGTCTTAGAATGAAAAGCAAAAAAGAAATTGATATTCAGTATTATTTAGTAAAATGAATTTCAGTAGTAATAAAAGACATAAAAAGAATGGGATAAGAAAGACAGTGAAGAAGTGAATTGAATAAGTAAATAAATAAAAAAATAAGAACAAATATTGTGATTATAAAGATAATACCAATAAGAAATATATATTAAGAACAAAGAATGAAACTAAAATGATAATAAGAGAATAAGAAGTAAATTGAAAGAATAAGAGTAATAAATAAAAATGAAAGTAAAGAAAAAGGATAATATAGAACAAGAAGTACATTAAACCAAAAATAAAAATGGAAGAGTAAATACACAAGAATAACCAATTGATTAAAGAAGTAGAAGAAACACTTTCACGCATTCAATAATAAATTGATGATGTTAATAAGAATTATCAATATTATTTAAGAAGTCTTAAAAAAGAAAGAAACAGGAGTAAAAAGAGAGGTTTCAAAGAATGAGAAGAAATGTTACAAATAGAAGATAGACAAATAGAAAAGTAGGAAATAAAATATTTGAATTAGATAATGATGTTTGGAATGAAAATGCATCAGTATTTGAATAAGGAATAAAGAATATACAATTATTATTGAAGATTCAGAAGGAAATAAATTTGGAGGATATGTTAATTCTAAAATTGAATCAGTTGAGTGTTATATAATTGAATTAATTGTATTTGTATTTTCAATAAAACCAAAAAAAGGAATGAAGAAAAGATATTAAAGAATAACTGTATGTATTAAAATAGTTAATTAGATAATTATTTGTTTAAAATTGATATGGAATAAGATATTATTGTATAAAAAGAAAAAAGATAAAACATGGTAATTTTGTAAACAACAAACAAAAGAATATAAAAGGATAAGAAATGTGATTTGTTAATGATATAATTTCACACTACAACGAACAGTAGTAAATGAAAATGTCCAATATAGATTAATTGAAATACAAAAGAATAGAAAAACAAAAATAATGAAAGAATAAGTGTATTTCAAACAAATAACAATGAGTGAAATGGCGTTATTATCAATATTGAATATTGATATTCAATATTTTAACATGAAATATTATTTCAATCATTTTAACAAGTGTATTAATATTTCATTGATAATAATTTTATTCAATCTCTATTTGTTTTATTCTGTTTGCATCTTCTTATAATTAAATTCAGTAATAAATGTTTCAAAATATGTTAATTTAAAATAACAAAACAGAAAAGAAATAATCATTTTATTATTTAATCAAGCTAATGTTAAATGTAAGATAGGAGATAAAAATAAATTATATAATAATACAACACTATTCTAAAATATAGTTTTATGAATTTCATTTGAAAAATAAAAAATTAATGATAAATACATCAAAAAATGGAAGTGTCATCAAATAAGTGACATTTTAGAAGATGGTTTGAGTCAAAAGGAGTAGATAAAATTACTACAGTGAAAGCATGGAAGTCATTCAATATTAAAAAGAATGCATTTCTACATTTAACTAAAATGCAAGATGGAGCAATATTTTGTGGGTATAGAAAAGCAAAAATAATGAAAAATGAAAGACTGAAATACTCAACACTTTGTAAAGACAAGATTACAACAGTAGAACACATTCTACTATCTTGTATTTATAATAATAAATCACAAATGGAAAAACATGACAATATTGGCATAATAATATTGATTGATAAGAAAATATACAGGAAATAATCAATATAAAAACCCCATATGAAACAATGTTCAAATATAAAGACATCACAATGATATTGAACAAACAAATAATGCATAAAAGTGAATGACAATATCACAAAATACCAGATATGTATTAGATAAAAAGAATAAAACTGGTCTAATATTTGATATGACGATTGTGGCTGATCACAATATTAATTGAGAATATTGGAAGAAAAGAAATAAGTACAATGAATTAAAGAATAGGTTAATGAAAATAGAAAAATTAAAAGATGTCAAAATAATTCCAGTAGTAATTTCAATAAATGGATTAATAAATAAAGAAAGTAATAAATTAATTAAAGAATTAAAAATTGACATTAACATCATTAAAGAAACTAAAAACCTTGTCATAAAAAACATGATTGATGTCATGGAATACTGCTTCAATCACAACCACACATACTCTATAGAGCTACAAGAAGAAGAAGAAGACGAAGTGACAGGATTAGTTATCTACTCTGAGCCATTAACAATAGAATCTAGTTCTATTAATACTTAATTAATTGCTTTATTATACTAAAAAATATATGAGGTTAAAAAAACAAGAACTTATTAATTCACTTATAATATATTATTTGAAAATGAATTTAGACTTTGACTTTTTCTTGTCTGTATTAGAATTTGCTACCCACAAACATAGATTTCAATTAAGAAAAGATGGTACAGCTTATATTGAACATCCAATTAAAGTATGTAAAATATTAAAAGATGCAGGTATTAATGATATTGAGATATTGAGTGGTGCATTATTACATGATACTGTAGAAGATACAGACACCACATTTGAAGAATTAGAAGAACATTTTGGTAAACAAATTACCCAATATGTACGTGAAGCAACAGATGATAAAAAACTTGATAAAGTAACAAGAAAAAAATTACAAATTGAGCATAGTAAAACAATTTCTTATGGAGGTAAAATGATTAAATATGCAGACAAAATACACAATATGGGGTCAATAATTTCTACTGTACCATGTCCTTTGTTTGTTTTTATTCTTTATTAATTTAAATAAACTTAAACAGATGTAAATTAATAAATAAGTAAGCCATATGAAGTTGCCCAAGGGTATATGGTTTGGGGAAAAAAAGTATGTGAAGCTTTTAGAGGAATTAATGGGGTATTGGACTCTCAATTTGATGAAATTTTAAAGGGTCATATAACAGATAATAATGGAAAAACTTATCCTGCTTTACCAGAAGGAAATTTAGATGAATTTTTAAGTCATTATTATGACTTAATCCATGACCAAAAATAATTCATCTATTAAAAAAAGGAATTTTAAATTAAAAAAATAATTTCTTTTATTTTATTTATTATTTTATTAAAGTATTAGAACATTAATGTTTTATTTAAATAAAACTTAAAAACTCAAAATTGAAGAAAACAAATAAAAGTATGAGTGATAATGTTCAATTATCAATTCAAACTTTAATGAATGATATTCAAATTCAAATAGAAAAAGAATTAATGCAATTAAATGAAACATTAAAACAACCTTTAATGGAATTAAAACAACAAGAATTAAAAATGGTATTACATATTAATGACTCTATTGAGCAATTAATTAAAGAATTAACTTTTTTATCATCAAGTTGTTTAATGGGAATTCCAAAAAATCAAATTCAAATACAACCTTTTCACTCAATTGGCTCTGAACAAGAAATTGATAAATTTATTCAAAATTGTCTTGAACAATTAACATTAATGAGAGTTATTAATCAAAATATTTATGATGCTTATAAAAAGATGCAAAATATTATTTCTAAACGAGAAACATGTGAGAAATTAATGCAATCATATATTAACCATACTCAATCAATGCAAAATTGGTTAATATCAAAGAACTAATATTGTTTGATTTAATTAAAATACTTTATTGTTTCAATTATAATTTAGAAATTTCTTCTTTCATTAATGCATTCTCTTTTATAATCATTTGATATTTTTTTAAAAGTTCTATTTTATCATATTCATTGAATGTTTCTGCAGTTTTAAATCTTTCAAATAAAGCAATTCCATTTTCTCTTTTAATATCAAATAAGTTTCTTTGTTGTGAAATTTCTTTTTTCATTTTTGTTACAGCATCATCATATATTTTTTGTTCTATCGTTAGCTTATTTCCATTTATCTCTAATAAAAATGATATAGCTCCATATAGATTAGTAATATAATATGAATATTCTCCATTAACATCTCCTCGTTGTGAAAAAGCAGAAAGATAAGATAATGTTGATGCAAGATGGGTTGTATTTGCTCTAATTACTATGTAAATAAATGAAGGTAATAATATATCAGCAGTTACTGAATCACCAGGTGGTAATAATGAAAAAGTTAATGATTGAAGTACTTTAAATGCATTAGCTAATTGCATAAGTTTTTGTGATGGAGTTTTAAAATTATTCATTTTTCTTAATATTCCAATTATTTGTCTAATTCCTTTTTGACCAGAAGGTTCATCAAGAAAGTTAACATCTAAATGACTTGCATGAATAAATTGATGAATTTTAATTATTTGTTCAAGTTTCATATCATTAACAACTTCTTTACTTGTCTGAAACTTATCATAACAAGGTGGCCAAATATACTCAAATAACATTGAACTAAAGATATTCTCTAAAATTTTTCTTCCAAGTTCTGATTCAGTTAGATTATTATTAAATCGTTCTTGAATAGGTTGAGGTAATTTCTTTTTTACTCCATCAACAACTCGTTGTAATAATCTTGCACGTTCTTCCATTGATTTCCCTTTAACAAGGTCTGGAAATTGTGTTTTTGTAGCATTTATATACATTGTCACTGTTTCATCTTTCATTGAATCTGCAATTAATTGAGTTATTTCATTTTCTTCTTCTTTAACATTAGAATATAACCACATAACATTGTCTTCTTTAAATATTCTTTGTAGACGACTTTTTTCTTTTGCCTCAGCTTCTTTTCTTGATTTTACGTCATTAAAAATTTGTTTAGGAAGTGACTTATTTGACTTATACTTTCTAGTTACTTCATGGATATTTTCTATATTCATTTGATTAACATCAATTTCTTGAATACAAACAGGACAGTACATAGGTAATTTCCATTCTTTAGTCACATTTTCTGATAAATATCCCCATTCACATCCTTCAAATCTCATTGTTTGTGATATAAATAATACAGGAAAAAATCCTATTGAAGTCTCACATGAACATCCTTCAATTATTGATGCCCCACCATCAGATATATGAGTTATTTTTGGTTTCATTTTATCAAATAAAAATCTATCACTAATAAGTTCAGGATGAATAACCATAGGAAATGGTATTAATTGATCACTGTATGGAGATAGTCCTTCAGATTCTATCTTTCCATATATTCCATTAATAGAAACAAAGTCTTTTTTACCACCTTGTCTATAAATCATATGTGAAGCTAGAAACTCAACAGATAAAGGAGGTGGATTTAAAGGAACAACAAGAGTGAGTTTCTTTTTAATTGCATAAAATACAGATTGAGCTCCTAGTGGAGTAGATAATAATTCATTAAAAAATGGGTTATTAGTTATTTGACCAACTAATTTATTTCTAATTTCTTGTGGTTTTTTATAGTCAAAATGATGCATTTTACAGAACGTCTGAATTAATTGAGGAAAATAATTTTTAATCTTTTCTTTATCTTCACTTTCATCTATATTAACCCAACTATTTTTTCTTCCATCAGAAACATATTTCATTTACTACTGATAGAATTATTTCTTTTTAGTTATTTTTTTAATTTTCATTTTTATAATTTTTACTATCAATTAACTAGTTCTTTTTTGTTTTTCTTTTTAGTATTATGCTCAACTATACTCTTACAACCTTTAGTTATGGATTGTTATTTATTTTTGCTTATCTCCTTTTGCCATTCCTTCATGGCCATTTAAGCACTGAACCAATTCATCAAATATTAGTATGGTATTTATATGATTCTTTAAAATATCCATTACTTTCTCTTTTTATTGCCTTTATTTTGGCAATCATTTGTATTGTTCATGGTGAAACTCAATGGAAAGAAGTGTCAAGTGGGATGTATCAAAACTTAAGTTTAGACTATTCAGAACGATTTCTCATTTCTATTGTTCTTCTTCTTTCTTCTTTTGGTTTAATTGAGTTATGTATAACGTTTCCTAAGGCAATTGGTATCATCATCAAAACTTTATTTGGTACAACACCTGTTAGTGTAAAAGCAAGTGAAATACAAGATGAAATTCGAGACCTCAACAAACACCAAATGATTCTTATTGATAAACAACAAAAAGGTGAACTTTTAAGAGAAGAAGAGTTAAATGAATTACAATCATTTAGTAACAAAGAAATGCAATTACAACACAAATTTAAGCAAGTCCTCAGAACTAAAACTAGAAGAGAAATTTTTCAAGCAATAGGAATTTTTATTGGTTTTGTTATTTGTGTTAGTATTATTATTGTTGGTATTTGTATGGCTATTGATGGAGTGTCTTTACCAAAACGATCTGAATGTGGTATTTTATGTGGATTTTGGGTAAATGAACGTGGTGTATTTGATGAGATTATTTCAATGTTTGGTGTGTTTGCACCATGGGTTTATGGAATTTCAACAATCATTTTAATGCTTATTCATTGTCTTGGAATTTTTTGTAGTAAACAAGAAAATGGAGGATTTAAAGTTTGTTTTTAATTATTTATTTGTTTATACTCAACAAATGAATAAGACTTATTTTATAGCTTGAATTTATTTCTTTGAGAAAACGAGACTATAGCAAATTAGTAGAAGTTATTGGACTTTTATTGATTGGGTTTGGAGGAGTCCCTTTGTTACAGCATATTATCAATCCAAATTTATACCTTAACACTCAAGTTGATATTTATAATATTGGTCAACTCCATTTCCCATTCTTTGGGATTTTCCTCGCAATTATTCGTTGGGTTTTTATTTTGAACTTTTTTATTTCTATAATTTATGCTTTTGTATATAATAAAGCAAATGAATCTTCTACTACAATGGACGACTTGGTTATTCCTTTCTATCTAAGATAGTCTGTAATTCATTTATTTTTCATTAGTTTTATTTATTTTTTTTTTTTAAAGAAAAAGTAATTAATTAAGTATTAATAGAATTTTCATATATTCTTCCTAGCTCAGGGGAGACTAATCCCATCCCTGAGCTTATTAAAAAAGAGTAATCTCTTTGTTAAACCTATTCTTTATGTTTTTCTTGCAAAATGAGGAAAGCACTTCTTTGCTTTATTTCTTCCTATTAAGGTTTTTCAAACTTCTTCTGCTTATTTCTTCTTTTTAAGCCTTTGTTTGTTTTCTGCCTTAATTTTAAGGAATTTCATTTTTCTTATTTTATGAATGGGAGAAGGAATTATTTTATTACTACTGTATTACTTTGACTAATCTTCTTTTAGTCTTACTTTGACTAATCTTCTTTTTAGTCTTACTTTGACTAATCTTCTCTTAGTCATACCCACACTTCAGTAGATTCTTATATTACATCCATGTAATATTCTACTTTATTCTCTTGCTGCACCCTTTGCAGCATTCCCTAATACATTCCTAATTCAAAGGCACCGTCATAACCAGATAATAACTGGGAGAGTCGAAGTATGAATTTGTACTAGGGTTTGTGTGTGGTGTTTCAGACGTGCCACCTTCGATTTTAACCCTAAAAAAAATTAAAATAAAAATTAAAAAAATTTCAGAAAGAAATGGTTTGTGGATTGTGCATTGTTAAATACATGATTAGATCATATCACTTCATATGAAAAGAAAATACATATTCAATGAATATAGCAAAAACAAACATCAAGGTTACGAAGAGAATATTTAATGAAAAAAAGTATGGAAAAATATGATAAAACACGACTTGACAAACAAGCCATTATTGCTCAAACAATTGAGAATGGAACTCAATTGCCTGCTCATGCAAAAGAAGGGTTTGATGTTGCAATGACTAGAATGGATGCTGAAGATGATGCAACAAGACAAGTTTCAACATACGATAGTGAATATGCAATGGCAGGAGTTAAAGATCCAAATGTTTTTATTACAACATCAAAAGACCCATCAAGCAAATTAAAAGAATTTGTTAAAGAAATTAAGTTAATTATTCCAAATTCAACAAGAATTAACAGAGGTAATATTCAAATTAAACAATTAGTTGAAACATGTAGAAGTCATGATGTAACTGATTTGATTATTGTTCATGAAAATAGAGGAGAACCAGATGGAATGATTATTTCACATTTTCCATATGGACCAACAGCATATTTTGGGTTATATAATGTTGTTTCTAGACATGAAACAAAAACATCTAAAACATTTAGTGAAGTATATCCACACTTAATATTTGATAATCTCACTACACCAT